AAATGATTGTTCCATCCCCATTTCAGCACACAGCGCGTGCTGAACAAATAGTTGCTGAATGAAGGAAGGAGTGAATGAGTAGGCGAGTGAGTACAGAGGACGTGTCACGGGGGTCTCACATTAACGATGCCCTGTTGAACGTTGCTTCGGAGGAATTCAGTTAATATGGGGAAACGTTAAGGACTTGGAGGAACGTGTATCCAGCTTCTTCATCTGCAGAATTCTGTCATCTGAAGAGGAAGAACCAAAAGACTCTGGAAGAAAGCCTTGGAAAAATGCCCCACATCATGAAGGGATGAAAGACATTCCTTTTACCCATTCCACCAGCAGGTAGAGGAGGCCCGCGCTGCAGAGGGGGAGAAGAGATGCATGGTCCTTCTGCTATGGACCCGCGGAGCTGTCCTCCGACACAGGGCAGCCCCTGCCTGGCAGAGCAAGGGAGTCCGTTTCAGGAGAGGGCAAGTAACTCCTGGCTGACAGGTGTCTCCTGCTTCTGAGATCATTCTTTTTCTAGAAAGAGAGCCAGCTTCCTTTGTTGGGCGCTTGTACATGCCTGTGCTTTTCATGTGCTGTTTTTCATGAGACAGGGAAGCAACAGGTTAACCAGCTGGTGTCAGGAATGAAAATTCACTAGCAGCTATACTCCTGGGGTGTCTGAGCAAGGCTGCTTCTGGAAGTGCTGTCTGTAAGCTCCGGGTCCCAGGCTTTTTAACTAATGGGGATCCCTTCCTCATTTTCCTCCCATCTACTAGACTTTTGTTCTTGCTAGACCTATTAAGGAATAATCCCTTATTTTATTGACCAGACACACAAATGTACCAATCCCGCCTTCTGCCTGGCCCAGGGTGATGGGCTAGACTACTCATCAGTTGGTATACAGAGAGCCCAAAGCAGGGAGATGTGAAATCTTTATGAGCTAGTTTTCCCCCATGGAGGCTAAAAGGACAATTTCCATCAGTCTTCTGAAAGTGCTGCCAGTCTCTGGAGGGCATGGATAATAAGCCCACGATAGATGTTAGTCGTAATAGTGTCATCATTGCTGTGCCTCCCAGGTTAGGAACCACAATCCGTACACAGCTGGTAATCATCACCATGATGAGAACGGTGGAGATGGCCTGAGCCCTCGCTCTGAGCCCTGTAGTCGCAATGCTTTGTGTGTGCGATCTCATTTATCCTTCACTGCAACTGTACGATAAAAGATTATTATTATTTCCCCATTTTACAGATGAGGATCAAAAAGAGGAGGAACATGCCCAATGCTAGTAACCCTCAAGGGGAGCCAAGGTCTCTGATGTAGCACCATCTCACTGTCTTGTGACCCAGGGGACCTCCTCCCTAGGAATCCCGGAGGAAGCACAAGATATATCTGTTCTCGGCCTTCTACTGTTATCTTCACATTTTGTCTTCTAAAAGGAAAGCTGCCTCTGGGTGTGTGGCTCTTCAGAGGGCAGTCACAGGCGTCTGCCCAAATCTTTTCCCATATTCTGAAGGTAACGCATATGCCTTCCTCACGCTGAGCTCTTCAAGCAGCCGTGGTCTCTGATCTCTCTGGCCTTTGCACGAGGGGATGCTAACTGTGCTCAGGGAGGGGACGGTGGAATAAACCTCTTGGTGAACCGGAGCTCTCCTTCCTCCCAACGTTCCACCTCTCTTCTGTGTTGGTGTTGAATGATTTCTTCAAAGGACATAAACACCACATTTCACCCCATTAAGTGTGCCTTGCCATCTCTCCTTCTTGCTGGGAGTGAGCCGGACTTGCACCTGTCTGTCTGTCTCTCCCTGAGTGGTGTGGGGCAATCTGAGGTCTAGTGCACAGTAGGTTTTGGAGTTGGTCTGAGTCTCCGTGGATAGTCAACAAAGATATCCAGGGCAGAGGCCAGAAGTTGTTCCCATAGGGCTACAGGCCTTCCTGAGAACTTAAGTCGAGTGGTAAGAGAACAGAGATTCAAGACGTTAGCAGGAATCCCCTGTGCCAATGTGAGCAAAAGGAGGGAATTTTATTTTGGCATGGTGGGAATGCTTTCTTTATGAACTCTGAGCATTGGAATGTAGCCAGGCTTAAGAAATCCTGGAATGGCAAAGACAAAATGCTTTCAAGACTCTCCATCTTTTTTTTTTTTAAGTTATTTATTTATTTATTTATTTGAGAGAGAGAGAGAGAGATCACAAGAAGGCAAAGAGGCAGGCAGAGGGAGAGGGAAAGCAGGCTCCCCGCCGAGCAGAGAGCCCCAATGTGGGGCTCAATCCCAGAACCTCGAGATCATGACCCGAGCTGAAGGCAGAGGCCTAACCCACTGAGCCACCCAGGCGCCCAAGACTCTCCATCTTTTGACCTCTCATTTCCTTCCTCCTCAGCAGACCAACTCTCCCAGATACTCTGAGTGCAGGTGGGCAGAAGACAGACAGCTGCCTAAGAGTTCCCAGTTCCCTGGACAGGCTGGCCTTCTTTCTCAGCCATGTGCCAAATTTCCAGGGAAGGAGCTTTGATAGACTAGCCAGAGTTAGGTGATCAGCCCTGGTCCAAGGTAATTGGATCCTTCTGAAAAAACATGGCGGCTGGAGCCTACAAGGGTAGGTCATAGGGACAATTAAGGGTCATCATTGATTTGACAGTTAATGGCTAACCACCTCCCCCCAACACACACCCTTTCCCAAGGCTTCTCTCTCCCCTGCATATGCCAAGACTTTCTGGTAGACCACAAGATGGGCTACCACTCCTGACAATGGGAGCACACCCTACCTGAGTCAGGAATTCCTTCTTATGGTGCCAGACCAAAGTCAGGAAGCAGATAGTAGGCATCTGAGACAAGCCTGTGGGTCCTCTTGAAGAGTGAGAAACAGGGTTGGAAACTGTCCAGAGGTAGTCTGGTTTTCTGTGAGCTCTAGGCAGAGACATTGGTGTCTAGGGATAAGGACTGAGTGTGAGGGGTCTAGAAGGTGAGAGCACGGCAATCAGGATCCCCCAGTGGGGCACGTGCTGCTTTTGCTCTGCTCCTACATCTCAGAGGCCCCATATTATTGTTTCACACAGTCCCGTTTGCTCTAAGCATTCTATAAGTTTATTCTGTGTTACTTGATTAATGTAAACATTTTGTAGAAATTTAGAAATTATAAAAATCCAAAAAAGTGCAAAAAAGGAAACAGAAGTCACATATAAACTAATCACTGTGTATGCCTTAGAATATATCCTTAGGGTTTTGGAGGGGTTTTTAAATGACTAGATTGCAGGGGGATGGGCAAAAAAGGATCATACTAAATAAACTATTTTGAGGTCTGCTTACATGGCCTTTTACAACATTTCTGCACTTTTGGTTAGGGGATGGAGAAAAATCTCAGCTGCGTTTGTTGGCTCCCAGTTGGACCCTGAAGGGCTTTTGCCCCTCTGTTGACTTCTCTTTTCCTTCTGATAAAATGATGGAAGGCCGTCCTCGCATTGCCCTCATGCCCGTCCCCACAGTTATCCGAAGAGGGCCACAGGCCCCTCCCAGCATGTTCTAGCGCCCCATGGCTGGCATGGAGGCTCGTGTGGTCACCTGTCTGGGGGGCTCCCATGGGCTTCCTGCAGCCCTGCTGCTCTCTCCCTAGGGCTGTCCATTAGCCACCACCTGCCAGCTCACTGGGCTCCCTCCCCATCTCTGCTTTGCAGGCGTGCACCCAGGGGTGGCAGAGGGAGGTACTCTGGAGCTGACCCACCAGCAAGTATCATCAGGTAACATCCACAACCAAGATAATCACAACCATAGGCAGAATTCTCTTTCTAAACCAGTCCAATGAAAAATGCCCGTACAACCATGAAAGCTTATTTTTGCCGCAATTCTACAAGCCAGATAAGATTACTGCCGTTTTATAGGTGGAGAAACTGAGACTAGAACAATCAAGAAACATGAGGCTAGAGTGGGACGTAGGATCACTCAGTTTGTAAAAGGCAGACTGGAGATTTGAACCCAGGCCTGGGCTGAGTCTGATGTCATACATCATTTTCTACTCCATGCTGCCTCTGGAACTAAAGAGGCAAGCGAGTAAAGAGCGTAGATGGACTATCTTGGGTCAGGGAGGTCAGGTAAACCAGTGGTCCTTTTTCAGCTGAGGGCTGCGACTGGCTCCCAGCGTAAGAATCTCCTTTTGCAGAATTTGTTAAATGTATAGAATCAGGACTCATCTCCAGATTCAGGACCCATCTCCTTGAGATTCTCATGTATGACATCTGGGGTGGGACCTGAGACTCTGTCATTACAGAGCTTCACAAACAACTTGGAAGCACAGCCGGGTTCGGGGACTGCTGACAAAATAGTAACACCACTTGCCAGGCACAAGAGACTTGCTGAGTAACAACCTGATGTTCTATTATCATGCTCAGTTTAAAGGGTAGGGAGAGCAGGGCTCAGAGAGGTTAAGAGGTTTTCTCAAAGTCACACAGCTCAAATGTGAAAGAGGACTTCGATCGTGATTAGAGTCTGTGCTCATCTACCACCTTCAGCCACTACCCATAGCTGGGTCACCTCCCTATTTGGCCCCATGGTAAGCCCCTCCATGACTTACAGTGACCATGGTTACTGTGCCTCGGGGTATGAAAAATCTAATTGTATCCTGAGAGGCAAAGATGAGGAACACTTGATATTCCTGTCGGGGAATTTGGTCTCCTCAGCTTTCTTTGCTGAGCAAGACACATAAGAGAGGGCACATGACATAGATTTGCAGGTGTGAAGCTAGTCCAGGAGCCGTAAAATCACCACATCCTCCCCACACAAGTCTAGGAACAGAAGGCACTGTGCTTCCTCCAGGAGGAAGAGGGTGATGAGAGAGCCTTCTCTGACCCCTGGTTGGTTTGTGGGCCATTTTATTTTTGTTATTTTGGAACAACTTCAGGATTTGGCCACTCTTCCGTGCCTGTCACCCCACCCCTCTGTTGTCCTAGGGTGACCCTGAGCCGCAAAACTGCTGTCTGCGTGGACTGGGGCTGACGTCACACGTCCATCTGCCAGGACCTCTGTGTCCAAACTCCGAGACATGGCAACCAATGGCAGCAAGGTGGCCGACGGGCAGATCTCCACAGAGGTCAGCGAGGCCCCCATGGCCAATGACAAGCCCAAAACTCTGGTGGTCAAGGTGCAGAAGAAAGCGGCGGACCTTCCAGACCGGGACACATGGAAGGGCCGCTTTGACTTCCTCATGTCGTGTGTGGGCTATGCCATCGGCTTGGGCAACGTCTGGAGATTCCCCTATCTCTGCGGCAAAAACGGTGGTGGTAGGTGCTGTCCTGGCCACCTCCCAGCTGGTTCTGGACCCCTTGAAGAGTGTCACACTTGGGCATTTTCTGAGAGAAACTTAGGGGAAGGGCCCCCTAAAGACCAGGCCCCATTTCCTGTTTTTGTCCCTCTACCAAAAGTTTCCCAAAGGACGATTGTCCTTTGTTAACGATACCGAACAGTTCACCTCTTCATTTTGCAAAGAACAAGGGATGTAGTTTGAGCAAAGGACATCCCGGACTGGATTTTGGCTGTGGGTGCTACTCTGAAGGCAGAGGGTAGAGAGATTGTGGCTGGGACCCTAGAACGCCCCGCCATTATGCTCTCTCTGAATGGGGCTTCTCCAAAGCTTTGGGACCATGAGCATCTCTCTTCTCACCCCCACAGGGGCCTTCCTGATCCCCTACTTCCTGACACTCATCTTTGCGGGGGTCCCACTTTTCCTGCTGGAGTGCTCCCTGGGCCAGTACACATCTATTGGGGGCCTGGGGGTGTGGAAGCTGGCCCCCATGTTCAAGGGTAAGTCTGCAGAATGGGGCCACGTGGCAGTGCTCCTGCCCACAGAACTGTGGCAAAACCAGGGCCATCCCGACACTCCCAGCCCTCCTGGAGAGAGGGACCTTGTTCACTTCTGAACAGAGTGGAGCCCTCAAAGGGGCCAGGTGGCAGATGGCAGCCCCGGCTAGGATCTAGGTGGACAGGAGGCCCCAATCCAGAGACAACCGCTCCCCTGCCCCCTGTACACACATCAGCCTGCCCTGTCCTGTAAGCTCATTTCCCCAGCCAGGGCTGGGTACGACTTTCTTTGTTTCCTTGCTCAGTTGCTCGACAGACCTTCAGATGGATACATGGAGGGGCTGGCAAGCCAAGACCCCCATCCCACCTGCAACCTGCCAGTGCTAGGCCCCAGACCCAAGTCCTCCCTTGCCAGATGTGTGTGACCTTAGCTAAGTCTCTCCCTCTCTCTTGGCCTCAGTGCCTCCATAACACCTGTTTCCAAGGTCCAGTGACATGGTGGACATCATGGAAAATAATAAGAATGACACTTCCTAGGATAGTTACTGTTATTGCTCTGTTAGACCAATGACATGAGGCCATGTCCACCCGCAGGTGTGGGCCTTGCCGCTGCTGTGCTGTCATTCTGGTTGAACATCTACTACATCGTTATCATCTCCTGGGCCATCTACTACCTGTACAATTCCTTCACCACAGTGAGTGGCCCCTTGGACCGCTCCTTTCAGAAGGAGCCAGACCCAGAGTCCACCCTCCGTCCGCTGGACTACCATTCTGCTGATAGGGCTGTTCCTTGGGTTGGGGGAGAGGGGTGGGATGGTGTGTCTTCAGCAGCCCCTGTGTCCCCACAAGTTGTAGCACTGTGAACCAGGCACCTGCTCCAGGCCAGACCCTGAGCCAGGGGCTTCGTGTGGACTGACTTCTAATCCTCCTGACTCCCCCTCTTAAGGTAGCTGTTGTTAGCTCATTTCGTGTGGACTCAGACTGCCTGGGTTTGAATCCTGACCCCAGTATATACCAGCTGCGCATCTTTGGAAAAGAGACTTAACCTCTCTGAGCCACAGTGCCCTTATTTAGAAAATGATGGTGAAAATGAAACCTGCTGTATAGAGTTGTTGTGAGGAGTAAGGAGTAAATATGTGTAAAGGGCTTAGCACTGTACCTCGCAAAGAACAAGCACCGTTCAGTGGTCACTGTTAACATCGGTGTGCAGAGTGTCAAACAGGTGGGATCTCTTACCTGAGGTCATAGAGCTGGGAAGTGGCCCCAGGATGAACACACAAGACCTTACGGCACAGCTTGGAAAGCTGATTTTCAAAGTGAAATGATCAAGGTTCAAATTTCAGCTCTGACACTTAGGAGCTGTGTGATCTCAAGCAAGTGACTACCCCTCTCTGATCCCCAAAATGGGGTTCTCAATATGACCTGCATCTGGGAGCTGTTGGGAAGGGGAGGTGAGATCATGGATGGCTTGGAAGAGGCTCAGGGGACCGTGAGAATGGACAAAGTGTGCTGAGACCACTGTTGCCATCCCCTGGGGGCTCAGCAGACCTTGTCTGTGCCACTGTGCCTTTGCAGACGCTGCCGTGGAAACAGTGCGACAACCCCTGGAACACGGACCACTGCTTCTCCAACTACACTGTTGTCAACACCACCAACATGACCAGCGCCGTGGTTGAGTTCTGGGAGTAAGTGTGGGGCTGTCAGAGGTAGGGGGTGCCTGTCAGCCAGGGCCAGCAGGAGACAGAGGCACCCTCAAAAAGGTAATGGGAGCTGGTGAGGTGTTCCAGCCTCAGGGAGAAACAAGAGAGAGTGAAGCTTTCTCTTCCCCTGTAGAGAGCTGGGCTGTGGAAAGGGCCACTAGACACAAGCTAGAGAGAATGAATTCCTGCCTTCTCGCTCCTCTGCCCAGTGACTCCTGCCATCTGTCAAACCAACTTAGAAGCCAAAGGGCCAGGGAGCCAATGAGGTAGCCCCAGCAGCCAGCCTCCTGGGACATGGAGCAGGGTGGAGAGGGTGGAGGGTGTACCGCTGGAGGGCAATAGCACAGGCCAAGAAGGATCGCTAGGACAGGCCAATGAAATCGCAGTTCATCCGGAAAACCAGTCCACTCTACTTAGAAACACAGAGATGTTTGGAATAAAGGCGTGCGTGCACACACACACACACACACACACACATCCACACGTACGCACACACGGTTCATAGTGAGGACTGTGCTGATTGTACCTTCAGAAGAGCACATTGTAGGTGTGTGTTGAGGTATTGATTTTACAAAAGGAGGTCTTGGGATCCAAGTCTCTTTGCCATGAAGGAAGCATCTGTGCTGGGCAGCTTGCAAGGGTCTGGGAGCACCCAGGAAGGTTCCACGGCACCTTGCATAAGCTGCCAGGAGGAGCCGTGCTCAGGAGCTGTCAGAACACATGATGCGAGTCTCTTTGTGCAGAAATGTCCTTAATGAGGTTGTCTCCTTACAAATAAAAATCAAATTCTTCTCCGGCTGCTTCTTTCCAGCATGTGCCACATACAATTCTCTAACACACCTTCAGCACTGCATTGAACCATGTAGTCAATAAACGTTTCTTGAACACCTACTATGTGCAGTCTGGTTAGAGACATGGCAAACAAGCAGAGTGGCAACACCAGATGACCAGTACTAACTTGGGGGGCTATAGGGACCCCAAGATGGTACCCGGACTAGCCCAGGTGAGGAGCGATGTCTAAGGTGAAAACCACATAGGTGAGACCAGGTTGGCAGGAGGAAGAGAATGCATGAAGGCTTGGAGGCAGGTGACAGCAAGCCAAACATGGGTGAGGGGATGGGAGTCATCCAGTCTGATGAGCGTTGGAGGGGTTTCAGGGAGAGCGGAGACTGGAGAGAGAAGCAGGGCAAGCTCAGGGAGCCTTTCAGGGTTGGCCTGGGGAAGTTGGGCTTCATCCTAAGGACAGTAGGGTGCTATTCACTGCAGGGTTTTGAGCAGGAGGGGATACAGTCAGACATATGATTTAGAAGGGTCCCTGGGGCTGGAGTGGGGATAGAGCAAAAGTGAAGGTGAGGGTCTTGCTAGGAGGGTACCAGCAGCCAAACAGGTGAGCAATAATTGTGGCCAAAATAAGGAACCATCAGGTCCCTTGAGCAAATAACACTTCTACCGTTTAGTATAATGGACCCCACAGTCTCCTGCCAGCTCCTGGGTCTCACTGATCACAGATGTCAGCATGGTCACAGCGGAGGATATCACTACCTGGGCACCCCGAGGCCATTTCAGCTCCCACCAGCCCCATGTGACTTTCTGCTCCTTCCACTATTCCACCAGGCGGAACATGCACCAGATGACAGATGGGCTGGATAAGCCAGGACAGATCCGCTGGCCTCTGGCCATTACCCTGGCCATCGCCTGGATCCTTGTGTATTTCTGTATCTGGAAGGGTGTTGGCTGGACTGGAAAGGTAAGACATGTGCACAGTGGGGACCAGAGAATGGGACTTTACCAGGGATTTCCGTCCTGCACAAGGAGTCTGCACTTCCAGGAACCCCACTGAACCTGGAATGCAGCAGGTCCCTACATCTTGCCCTGCCTTGGTTTTCTTTCCTGTAAAATGGGAAAAATAACATTACCTACCTTCTGGGCAGTGTGAGGATAAAATGCAATAACGTAAGTCAGTTAACAGAGCCATCACAAAATAGATGGTAAACTTTGCTCAAGGACCATTGAGCAAACTGTCCCTGAGCATTGCCACTGTTGGGTCCGTTATCAAAGGAACGAGACTGAGACGAAGTGAAAGTTATGTAAAGCTTTATTCTGTGCCAAGCATTAGAAGTCGGACTAACCGGCCAGGGCCGCCTCCGAAGAGAGCGACCCCCGCCTTGGTCTTACAGGTTAGTTTTATAGGGCACAACCACAGACTTCTACATATGTGGCTTTGGCTGATTGGGTGTCTCCTACCTGTGTGTTTTAGTAACAGTTACACGGAACTGATACTAGTAACTGCTGAGGCGTTTATTAAACAACAAAATGGACTTGTTTTAGGTATGTGTTTTAGCAACGGTTAAACGGTTAACTGATACCGGAACTGCTAACAACAAAATGGCTACCTAGGCAACATGGAGTCACTATTGCTAAGTAGTCCCAGGCAAGCCCTAGGGGTTTAACAGGTTTTAACGTGGAATTGGTCCCAACAGCCACCATACCAGGTTTTGTTCCAGGGTGATCCAGAGATGAACATTCCACATCCCAGCCTTGGAGGAGGAACAGAGATGGATCAATGAATGGTTAAATTCTCGGGCTTTGTACTGAAATAGTCCTGAGTTCAGATCCCAGCTTGGCTGTTAACTTGGCTAGGTGGCCTCAGGCAGATCACTTCACCTCTCTGAAACTCAGTTTCCTCCTCTGAAGAATGGGGCTTATCTGTTTGTTTGCCAGGAGAATCAAATCCAAAGGTGATTTGGTAAAGCACTTGGTAGCTAACAAGAGGAAATGCATTTGGTTTTGTTTTTATTATCGGTAAGGGCAGAGCCAGGTCAAGCTGGGGGTCCAGCCTGGGGACACCTGGGGATCTTTCCAATTAAGTTAGGGGGAAGGGGCCTGGCTTCACTCCCACTCTTTTCCCCTTAAAGCTGCACCCCAGGGGTGTAGGGACAGAAGGTAGCCCAGGCCCTCACTGGACCCTGGCCTGAAGGAAACTTAGAGGAAACCTGAGTTCTGACAGCAAGTAAGAGAGAGAAGGAATTTGAACTGAATCATGCTGGAGCAGGGAGGTCCAGACTACCCAAGCTGATATGAACAAAACAGAATCTTCACAAATGCCATACTTGGACATGAATATGACTGATGAAATAAGTGCCCAATTCCAGTCTGGTGGGACGTATGGACCTACCAGTTCTCAGATCCGAAGCCGGTGTCTAAACCTCTCTGATGCATCCCTATTTTAACAGGCAGGAGGAAGGCACAGGTGTCTCCCAACCCAAATTTAAGAAGCAGAAGAATGTTAGAGCCTAAGGCCTTTAGAAGAGATAGACCAGAGCTTGAATCTCAGTCTCCCAATACCTAGCTATGTGTGCTTGGGCAAGTCATATCAACTCTCTGTGCCTCAGTTTCCTTATCTGTTAAATGGGTACAATAATAATACCTTACAAAGATTGGCATAAAGACTGAGGAGAATAATCTATGTGGAGTATGTAGCATATGCCTAGCACCTAGTAGGTAGACAATACATGGTATCAATTGTCTTTTGACTGAGTCATCTAAGCCATCAGTAAATATTTATTAAGCACCTTCTACGTACTTGGCTCCATACTAAACATGGAAGACAGATTCAAGTGCAAGACCTAGGCAATATATATTAGCCATGTTCTATATCATACAACTGACCTTTCTGAGTAGGCAGGTTGATTGTATCCATTTTCCAGACCAGAAAGAACAAGGGTCAGAGAGGATAAGAAATTGACCCAATGTCACACAGCTTATAGGTGCCATGGATGGTTTTGAATTTCCTTTTCCTAATTCCAAGTACAGTGGCTTTTCTAGTGGATCTTGGCTTCCTTTCCTAACCCTGAAGAATCTCGATCCAACCAGGGAAATGAACCTAACCCAGAGAACAGTTCATGCTGCCCAGAAAATAGGGTCACATCAGACTGTGAGATAACAAGGGTTATTAAACTTGAAAATGGCTCTTTCACAACGGCAAGCAAAGAAATGTCATTTCAGACAATGACATTAGTCTTTTGATTATCAATTTGGCAAAAAAAAATGTTTTTAATGATTATACTCAGTGCTGGCAACTTTGTGGGGAAGGTGTGCTCTGAAATGCTAGACAAAGCTCCCTTTCTGGAAGGTAATTGGGCAATATGAATCATAAGCAGTGGAGAGATTCATCCCTTTTAGTCAGTAATTCTACTTCTAGAAAATTTTCCCAAGAATGGTATAATAATTTTGTAGACCAGGTTTTATACACGGGGGTTTTCAATGTAGTATTAGTGAGATTCACATGAATGGATAACAGTAGGAGAGATTTTAAAGAGGATGGTAGAACCTCCTGGAGGATTATTTTGCATAATTAAAAACCACATTGTTATGAGACAATAAAACAATGTTTAGTAAACAAGAAATTAAGTATGCACTGTGTTTTTTTTTTTATTTTAAACATGTTAAATAAGAAAGCAAGCACATAATTGGAGCATCATCTTGTAAGAAAATGTGATCATACATGCATAACAAAGTCTCAAAAGAGAACATTAAAATGTTAACATCCATGCATTTATGTATTAGGCATTTATTAAGTGTCTCCTATAAACTGTGGATTGTTCTAGGCACTGAGAAAACAGGTGAACAAGACAAGCCCTCTCCTTCACATAACTTAAATTCTAGGGGCTGCTGAAGGGAACTTTAAGAGTGTGTGTGTGTGTGTGTGTGTAACTTGAAAATTTTCCTGACACCATGTGTTACTTGAACAATTTAGACAAAAGTCAAAAAATAAAGGAGGGGTAGGGGGAAAGGGAAAATCAGGTGCTGAGCTGGTTGGTTGAGACTCTAAGGAGAGGCCTCAGAAAAGTGGACAAACACAGTCAGTTAGGAATCCAGAAAGGCTTCCTGGAGGAAGACGAGCTGGGAGTAAGCCCAGGGTCTCAACAGACATGGATGTCAGTGAAGTGGGGGGAGGACAAGAATGGGCGCGCTGGAGGGGGCATCGTTGTCAACTTTACCCCCAGGTGGTTTACTTCTCCGCCACCTATCCGTACATCATGCTCATCATCCTGTTCTTCCGTGGAGTTACGCTGCCTGGGGCCAAGGAGGGCATCCTCTTCTACATCACACCCAACTTCCGCAAGCTGTCCGACTCAGAGGTGAGTGGCCTTCCCAGGTTCCCGGCCCCCAGCGGCTGAGTTAAGGGCATGCCTGAGTCCTGAGCCACTATTTACCAGCTTTAGGACAAGTCATTGGACCTCTCTAACCTCATATGTAAACGGAGATGGTTGCCAGGTACAGCTGGTTACCACATGTAAAGGGCCATGGGGCCGGTGGCTAGGATCATAATTTTGATCATTCTACCTATAGGTGTGGCTGGATGCGGCAACCCAGATTTTCTTCTCCTACGGATTGGGCCTGGGATCCCTGATCGCTCTTGGGAGCTATAATTCCTTCCACAACAACGTCTACAGGTGAGAGAGCCCAGGGACCTTGTTCTTCCTGGCCACGCCCCTCCAGCGCCACGCCCCCTGCAGCCACGCCCCTTATAGATCCCGCCCCGGGGGAATTCTTGTGGCCACTCCTTCCGGTTCCACCCGCTCCCTGGGTGGGGTGGGGGCACCCGCCCTGCGGCCCTGCGGCTCTGCTCCCAGGTACCCTTTTCTGCCCCTGCCGCTTGTCCCTCTCTAGCCACTGCTTCTAGCTCACCTCCTTTGCCAGCCCCACCGTCACTGAGTCCACCCTTTCTCCTCTGCAGGGACTCCATCATTGTCTGCTGTATCAATTCATGCACCAGCATGTTCGCGGGATTTGTCATCTTCTCCATCGTGGGCTTCATGGCCCATGTCACCAAGAGGTCTATTGCTGACGTGGCGGCCTCAGGTCAGCACTACACATGGGAGGGCCGGGGTTCCTGGGGTGAGAGGGGCTAACACGCGGGCTTCTGTGGTCATTACCGCCCTCACCAGTGGGAGCCAGAGGATGAGCGTGTTGACAGAGGGAAAAGCCCGTAGAAGGACGGTGAGACAGGGATGAATGTGGTGTGTTGGCTCCAGGGTACTGAGCATCACTAGGTATCAGAGCAGGGAGCATTTTATGTGAAACTATCCAACACCATGGAGTCCATGTTTTTTTATTCCCTTTACTAGGTGAGGAAATGAGGCCCATGGACCATGTTCACCAAGCTAGAGAGGTGATGGAACTGGAGTTGAGCACAGACCTGGCTGATCAAAAAGCTTGGGCTCTTAATCACCTGACCATACTGGCACTTCCAGCACAATCCTGCCTTTTGCAGGGAGAGGACCGACTCTTGCCGCCTGAGATATAAACCTTCCAACTCAGACATGCTTAAATCTTTGCTTTAGTCCCACTTCCAGATATGTTCTCACCAAATAATCAGCAATGCTCTAGGGTCTGAGGAGAGCCCTAGGCACCCCCTGCTCAGCTGGGAAAGCAGTGAGCAGGAGGGACCCAGTCTGTATACAGCAGAGGCCCTGAGACTTGGGGAGGCCATGGGACTAGCCCCTTCCCCATCACGGAGAACTGGGCTGCTCATGTGGAAAGGAACTTTCTCCACTGATGTCCTCATCTTCTCTACAAGGGCTAGCTCGTTTCTTTGGCATTCCCCAGCCACCACCCCCCTTTCCTGAGCCAGACCCAGGGAGCTTACACTTTCTTTCCTTCTCCTTCTAATGGTTCTCCTCCTCTCTTGACTAACCCCCACCCAGACACTCAAACATAGTATGTCCCAAACTGACCTCCTTAAACTTACTTCTTCCCTGTACTCCCCACTGCAGCAAAGAGTGCCAATGTCCTGTACCCAAGACAGCCCCAGCATCATCCTGGACCTTTCCTTCACCTTCACTCTACAAACCAACCAATACCAGGACCTGTTCATTCCACCTCCTTCATATCTCTCCATCTGGCCCCCTCTCTGCACCATCACCATCCCTGTCATAGTCCATCCTTTCATCTCACCGGTGCCCTGGCCTCTGGACCCAACACTACCACCTCCCCCACCCATGCACACTCTGTATCCTTATCTAGGAGAGGGGGTGCTGACAACACTCACCCAAAAATTTACTCTGAAGATGAAATGCAATGAAGTTTAGAAAGTGGGGAGTGTGCTGGTATGCTGTAGGTGCTCAGTACTTTTCTTCCTTTTTTTTTTTTTTTTTTTTTTGGCTTCTTTTTTATCCTTTCCTCCACAGGCCCTGGATTGGCGTTCCTGGCATACCCAGAGGCAGTGACCCAGCTGCCCATCTCTCCCCTCTGGGCCATCCTCTTTTTCTCAATGCTGCTGATGCTGGGCATTGACAGCCAGGTGAGGACGCCCTCCCTGGCACCTGGTGGAGCCCCCACCCAGCCTTGCTGATCTGGGAACAAGCAGGGAGAGGAGGCCATTGGCCATTGTCTTAGGACCACAGGAAGATGACCAAGAGTTTCAGACCCCTAGACTGTTCCACATAAGACTTCAGGGTAGAGCAGCTCAACCACCTTCCGCATTTTCCATCTCGGGAAACCGATGTCCAGAGGGAAGGGACTCTCCTGAGGTCACAAAGAGAGGCAGAGGCAGAATCAGGCCTGGATCCTGGGGCTTTTCTGGCTCTACCGTCCCGAGAATGCCAGACCCCTTTGGTCTTGCCCCAGAGAGTCAAGCCCTGGGTGGGTCGGGGCTGGGGTCTGCCGCACTTGGCTGACCTTCGTCCCCCTTGAAGTTCTGCACCGTGGAAGGCTTCATCACAGCCCTGGTGGATGAGTACCCCAGGCTCCTCCGCAACCGCAGGGAGCTCTTCATTGCGGCTGTCTGCATCGTCTCCTACCTGATTGGCCTCTCCAACATCACCCAGGTGAGCTTACCGGGCCCTGAGCACACCTCTGGTGCACTGCCCCCAGGCCCACTCCCAGGTCCTCTCTACCCCAGCCTCATGCCATCCCACCCTTCTTCTGTTCCTTGAGCACCATCTCTGTCCCAAGTCCTGTACAAACAACAGCGAGGCAGATGGGGACCCTGTCCTCAAGGTGAGAGGGTGGGAGACACAGATATTGAGCTAGAAAAGATAAGACACAGCTGGAGAATACAGCCCCTAACTCAGCCTGGGGCACTCGGGACTGCTTCCAGGAGGAGGGGATACAAGAACTGAGTTTTTTAAAAACACACAAAAATTAGTCCGTTTGGAGTTGGGCCTTTGACATTGACACTGCCCCCTTCTTCTCGCTCCCACTTTTCTTTTACTATTGATATTGATGATCAGTCCTCTCTGCATTCAAGGCCCTCCTGGTCTAGCTAGAAGGCATACACATAACCGATGAATTGTACAGTAAACATAAATGACCTGAAAGCCATGAACTCAACCTTGTGGGTCTGCTTTATGATCCACAGAACTATCCCTGGGTTCAAATACAGTTCATCCCCAGAATATTATTCATTTGTCCTTTTATTCCTCCATGGTTGTTAAACACTCACCATGGACCTATCATGACCTTGGAGATTCAGCAGTTAACGGGACAGACACAATATCTGCTCTCTTAGAGCTTATGCTTTGGTGGACAAGACTAACAAATTAAATCATCTCAGAGTGTGTTCAGTGCCATGAAGAAAAGGTGATAGTGAAACAGGGAATGATCAGTGAGGGTGGGAGGGATGCTACCTCAGACAAAGTCATCAGGAGAGGGCCCTCTGAGGAAGTGGCAGTTGAGCTAAGACTGAAATGATGATGAAGAGACAGCCAGGGGAAGACGAGCATAGCAGGTGCAAAGGCCCTGAGGTAGGCATGGGCTTATTAAGTTTGAGGGGCAAAGGGAGTGATCAGATAAGTAAAGGGAACAGAAACAGATCATGCAGGAACTTAGAGGACAAAGCCATTTGTATTTTGTATTTTATTTTATTCTTTCAACTTTTTGATGTGTTAAATTTATGTCCTTTTTAAGCCATGGAAGGTTTTAAGCAGGGAGAAGACATAACTGTTTTAACTTTGTGGAGAGATGGCCTTGATATCTAGCTCCTCTTTTAGTCCAGCATTCCCAGAAATGGGGCATTTCTCTTCCCCAGACATCTTCTTCCCAATTCCCAGGGAGTCGATGATCACACCCTATCCTAGTTACTAGGCTCTCGATGCTTCTTTTAGTCTTCCCTTAAGCCTCCTCGCTGCAGTGTTATCTCACATATACCTTGCCAGACTGCAGAGGCCCTGTTGGCTGTGAACTGAGTGTCTTGGGCCCCAGTGGAAAGTGGACCCCCCTCACTGCTTTTCCTCTTTTAGGGGGGCATCTATGTCTTCAAACTGTTTGATTACTACTCTGCCAGTGGCATGAGCCTGCTATTCCTCGTGTTCTTCGAATGTGTCTCCATTTCCTGGTTTTATGGTGAGTGTCAACCCTCCTCCTTCCTTCCCTCCCTCCTTCATCCATCCATTCATTCATTCATTTCTTCAATCATCATTCAACAGATAGAGCTTTAACACCAAGCCCTTTCTATACATTAGCTGACAACTGACCCTTGAACAACACGAGTTGCAACAGCACAGCCTTCTAGTTCTGTGTGTAAATACAATACAGTATTTTTTCATACTCATTTTGATACAAAATAGTACTCTACAGGTAATTTCTCTTCCTTAGGATTTTCTTTTTTTTTTTAAGATTTTATTTATTTATTTGACAGAAAAATCACAAGTAGGCAGAGAAGCAGGCAGAGAGAGAGGAGGAAGCAGGCTCCCCGCCGAGAAGAGAGCCTGATGCGGGGCTCGATCCCAGCACCCTGGGATCATGACTCGAGCCAAAGGCAGAGGCTTTAACCCACTGAGCCACCCAGGCGCCCCTCCTTAGGATTTTCTTAATAACATTTCTTTTTCTCTAGCTGACTTTATTGTAAGAACACAGTATATAACACATAGAACATACGAAGTATGTATTAATCAATTGTTTGGTATTGGTAAGGCTTCTAGTCAACAGTAGGCTATTGGTGGCTGTTTTGGGGGAGTCAGAAGTTACATGTGGATTTCGACTGCATCATTGGGGGGGGGCAGTCAGTGGCCCTAGCTGCCACTTTGTTCAGGGGTCAACTGTTTTCAGTCCTCACAGCAATCTAATGAAGTTAGCAAGGGGGTCTTGTGTTTAAGAGACAACATAAGACGGGTTAAATAAATTCATTTAAAGTGGGAGCCAAAATGTCTTCATAAATTTTGGGATAAGAGGGTTTGAGATTTTGTTTAGAAAAGTGACACCAAAACTACAAAATAAAAAGTTCCAAAGTGAAATATTTAACAAAAGTGGGGCTATGGTGAAAGGCACTCACTCCCTTGGAACAAAAAATGGAAGAAACAATGATTTTATTTATTTTGTGGCCTGAGTTTCCAGATACCCCCTGCACAATAGTCAAAGGCTGTCCTTCCCTGCGCTTTGATTATCCCAGCAAGACAATGTGTTTGAAATGTTTTCCTTGGTCCTTGATATTCACTGTACTTTTTTTTTTTTTTTTTGCCACCTGCCCCTCCTTGTCATCCCCTCTCCCCCTCAGTTTCCTTGCTGGGTCAGGGGCTTTGCACAGAACCTGAGGGATGCTCAGTGACAGTCTTGGGAACTTCATGACACTGGTGGTGTTTTGCAAGATTTGTGGTTCTTCTTTGCAGCCTATCTCCGGTTGCTTATAGCATCAGAGCACCGAGGAAAACCGCTCTGTCCAGCAGAGCTTTGAAGGAATGGCTGGGCTAGCTATTGGGTGGGAGGGTCACTGAGAGAGGTGAGGACACGCTTTATAAGCATAATCTTTTGTTGGTGGATATTTTCATGTGAGGTGCCTGGCTTTCTCACACAACCCACTTGCTGGGTGTTATTGAGTACTTAGCTAACAAGGACCCCCTCAGAGCTCTGGCTGCTGTTACAAAGAGGCTGAAGCTCCTAGAGGTCGGGCTGCAGTCATACTGCCAGAAAGTGGCAGATTGAGACTTTGAGCCTACAGTGCCCACAGCTCATTCATCCCTTCTGCTCTCACTCTGAATGTCAGGTGTTAACCGATTCTATGACAACATCCAAGAGATGGTTGGCTCCAGGCCCTGCATCTGGTGGAAACTCTGCTGGTCCTTCTTCACCCCAATCATTGTGGCGGTAAGGACAAGTCCTGGCCAGCCCTGTTGGGATCAGGCCAGGCCCTGCAGTGACTCCGGCCCAGAGAGAAACTTCTAGAGGCAAAAACGCCCATTCCCTAATAATACTACTCCATTCCATTTGCTGAGCATCTGCTCTGTGCCCTGCATGACACCAGAAACATTACATCATCCTCGTAAACCTCAGCAAAATAGGCCTTCTTGCCCCCCACTTGACTGCTGAGGGCCCCAGGCTCCCTGCTGCCAGCATCACCCAGCTAGCTGTGCTGCATTCAAATCAGGTGGGCCTGATTCTGAAACCCAAGACCATGGGCTCCAGGAGACCTCTCATCCTCAGCTTCCTTGATTCCTTCAGGCAGGAGGAAGCTGAGGTGTGAGCAGGCCTGGGACCGCTGCCCCAGGTCCGTGGGGTGGGTTGGGCCACGGGGTAAGTTGTGTCCTGCACAAGTGCACTCGGCAGATGGCAGACTAGAGCCTGAAGTCCAGTCCTTGCTCTGTTTGCCAAGCTGGTTAACTTGGAAGAAGAGGAGCCTTTTTTTATTATCCTCCCAGAAAGGATCCCTTTTTCTGGTGGGCAGAGGGCACTAACTTCAAATTGTTTCTCCCAGAATGGGTGCCTTTTTCTATTCCACACAAAAATGTCTTATGTAGTAGCGGTGGCCTTCGGTGCCAGATTACCACGATGCTGGACCCTTGTGAGGGTCAGCCTAATGGCAAGGGAGGTGGTCAGTAGACCTATCAACTTCAGAGTCTAGGAAAGGGCCTTGGTTGTCCAACTGGGGAGACTGACTGTGTCCCATCCCCTCTCCTCTCCCCTCCCTAGGGTGTGTTCATTTTCAGTGCTGTGCAGATGACTCCTCTCACCATGGGAAACTACGTTTTCCCCAAGTGGGGCCAGGGCGTGGGCTGGCTCATGGCTCTGTCTTCCATGGTCCTCATCCCTGGGTACATGGCCTACATGTTCCTCACCTTAAAGGGCTCCCTGAAGCAGGTAAGTCCCTTCTTCACCCTTCAGATTTCTTAGTCCCCTTCCCCTACTGTGCTGGGCACGACCCCTACCCTTGTGGAGCTCACAGTCTAGTTAAGAAACAAACAACTCAATATCCATTGACAACAGAATGTTGGAAGTACCATGATTTGAATAAACCAGGGAGATGGGTTAGCCCTGTCTGGGTTGAGGAGGGTTAAGGAAGGCTTCTTAAAAGAGGGGATAGTTAAGAAGAAGCCTAAAGATGAGCCAGAGATAAAAGTAGAAGCAGAAAGAATGTTCCTAGAAGGGGATGAGAAATATGTGCAAAAGCCCAGGGGTATAAACAGCTTTCGGTAAACTGAAGGAAAATCAATGTGGCTGGAAGGTAGAGTGGAGAGGGATGTAGAGGGGGTGATAAGAGAGGAGGTTGGGGATGTAAGAAAGTCAGGCCAGCTCATGAAGGGCTTTGAAAATTAGAACAAGAACTCTTAATTTTATCTTGAAGTTAATGAGGAGCCTCAAGGGTTTGAAACAGATGAAGGGTGGGGTCTCTTGTATTGTGGGCTTACTCTAGACCCCTTTTGTGTGTTTGATAAAGACACAATGTAGTCTTGCCCTCAAGGTAATATAATGTAAGGCATGTTGTCCTCAGTAGGGGCCCACTAGCACATTCTAGGTCCACACCAGCTATTTGTTAAATTATGTAGAATTCTCAAGTAACACAAGGCAGTGGTGCAGGTACTCCAGAGACATCACTAGATTAAGAGTAAGCTGAGAAGATTTTACTGGGGAGAAGTGGATGATCAGAATATGGAGGGCCATAGCTGGGAGGCCTTGGATCTGTGGCTCTCAACCTTATTTCTACTAAGATGGGCCTTCCAGACCAATCAGAGCCAGAAAAGGGAGCTCTATGGTCTGTGGCCTAAGGAAGGCCTGGTGGGGGTCCATGTGCAGCCCCCAGACCAGCCTCCTCCTTTCACAGATGCAGAAACTGAGGTCAAGCAAGAAGCCACTTTCCCACCCCTTGCCATAAGTTATTAGGAGAGCAGAGGCTTGTAGCCCCTTCTTCCAGCTCCAGGCCCAGTGCTTTCATTTTCCACAGTCCTCTGCTGAGTGGCAAAAGGCAGTGAGGTCTGGGAGGGGCAGAGAGGCAGAGGAGGCTCATTTAAGGAGGGGAGCACAGCCCGTTCAAAGGCCCAGGAGTGGGCACATCTGATGACAGCACATGCTCTGGGGGGACGGGATTTCAGGGAATATGTGGAGAGAAAGTAGGGGGAAATTAATCCATTCAGGAAATAGGCATTCAACACCTACTATGTGCCAGACAGTATTCTCAGGGCTACAGACACACTCATGAGAAAAACAGGCAAAATTCCCAACCTCCTGGGGCTTATATTCTAGTAGAGGAAGACCAACAATTAACAAAATAAAAACATGTTAGATGGGGATGAGTACTGTGGAGAAAAATAGAGTTGAAGGGGGGTTTCAGGGAGTGCTGAGTGAGGTCTTGCTGAGACTGTAACACTGATCCAAGACCTGAGGAGGTCTTGAGCAAGACCAAGCTGTGTAATTATCTGAAAAGCAGGATGTCTCAGACAGAGGGCACAGCAAGTGTAAAGGCCCTGAGGCAGGTGCATGTTTGGCATGTGTGAGGAGAAGTGAGGGGGCCAGAGAGTATGGAGGATGTGGGGACAAGGCCAGAGTCTGGGTGCATTTTGAAAGCAGAACAGGCAGGATAGACTTAGAAAGAGGTGGGGGAATGGAGCCCCCAGTCTTCCTCCTCCCCACCCAAATTCTCCCTGGTGCCTGCAGCGCATCCAGGTCATGATCCAGCCCAGCGAAGACATCGTTCGCCCGGAGAATGGTCCGGAGCAGCCCCAGGCCAGCGGCTCAGCCAGCAAAGAGGCCTACATCTAGGGGTGTCTGGCGGCTTGCCGACCCGCCACTCTCACCCCCCAACCTGGCTGAACGTGACCACCACTTGATGTCTGAAGATACCGTCTATCTCAACCTACCTCGAGTGGCGAGTCCAGACACCATCACCATGCAAAGAGAGGGGAGGTGGGGGACAGTCACACTCCTGGTGGGCCCAGCCCTGGGCAAAGTTACTTGATGGTTCCAGCACCTGCAGGCTGGTGACCTTTTGAATCCGGGCCCCATAAGCATCAAGCAATCAGCCTTCGTGACTGTGCCGTAGATCATTTTTATCCTGCCAGCGAGTGCGATGCGGCGAGGCCACACACTCCTGGCTTTTAGTCCCGTTCCTGACTGTTCTCTTACTGCCGAAACCCACAACTCTTATCTCGGACTTTGCTGGAGTTCGGTTCCGTTGGAACGCCGCTCTGTACACATGAAAAGGGCATTTTGTATAATGGGGGTTTCCAGGGAAAGCTCCCTCTTAAGTGCAGGGAGCCCGCGGAGCTCTGACTTTCATTTTTTCGGTTGATCCTTCCCGAGGCAGCTTGACAAAACAATCCCCCAGGACCTCCATCAGTATTCCCCTGGAGCTGCCCCCGTGTCCCCAGCAATTTGCTGAGCATCCTTCCCTGCCCCCTCCTAGCCAGGCCAGGTGGATTGCACCTGGCCCCACGGCGATCATTCCAGGCAGCCCAGCTCCCTCACTCCTTCCTTGGAAAACTGCCACAAGCACAACTGATTTTTGTTTTATTATTATTGCCATTCTGGGGGCCTAAGATCCCACTGGGGAAATTCCCTAATCAGGAGCCCCAGTTTCTCTTAGACTGCCCCGTTTTATGGAGCACAAATCAGGAGCAGAGGAAATCAAGGTGAAGGTGTGTCTGTCCTTGAGTCCAAATGGATGTGGTTATCTTCCCAGCTTTCCCTTCAGCTGTGTGCTCACTGCCGTCCCCGTCAAAAGTGCTGCCTTCTTCCTTCATATTCCTCAGCGGGAATCCCCTCACTACCACTAAAATCTCCCAGCCCACTAACTGAGGAGCTAGGGTTCATCCAGACCACCCCCACGCCCCCTCCCCGCAAAGTGCTTCCAAGATTAAACTGCTTCATCGAGAAGTAGTATTTGTTTCTGGAACTGGGCTCCGTGGCGATGGCGGCGGTGGCAGGTGGCAGATCAGGCAAAGACAGTTTCTGGCAAGCTCCAGTGACTCAGCGTTTCTCCTTTGCCAGGAAGATGGGTTCCCATGTAGCAAATCGTATGTTGTGCCCTGTAGCTCCTTAGCTAGTTAGCTCACAAACTGTGTTTTACAACTAATCCTTAATAATTATGGTAAATAACTGTGACTGTGGGTTTTTTAATCTCTTGTCATTCTCATCCGACAGTGACCAGCATACCCGTTCTTGCAATAAGGTATTACCCTCAGAATAGTAAGCACATTCTTGTAGAGAAACATACAGTACGTGTACACATATAAAGGCACACACATAAATGTTCATCCTCACGCGTGGTATATAGGGTCTTATTTGATATCGTGTAGGAAATCTCAACCCTTTTCCTGAGGTCATCTGTAAAATAGTCTCATTGCTAAGGCATCCCAAATGCCAACTGGTGAATCCATGATCAAAATGCATATGTGTTGTTAAATTATAGGGTTTAGAATGAAAGGAACCCTTCACTGTGTCTCATGGTCCCACCCCCCACCCCCCCCAATCCTGTGTGAACTCCTTTAGAATAAGGGCAGGAAGACTTCTGACTTTCTCTTTGTTCTCTTCCATGTGATACTAAGACCAAGTCTTTCTAAGACAAATGCAGTGTACTTAATATTTGTATGCAAATCTAACTGAGATGTTTGGCAAGAAATCCCCTAACCGATTTCCATCCAAACCTACTTAATATAGCACAATATTACGTGTCGTACAATTCCAGTGAGAACTGTGAATATGTGTACCTTTTTTTAGTATTTGCCCTGGGGGAAAAGATATTGTATTATCATATATGCTTTTTTTGCAATAAGGATTTATTCTCAGAACACCAAGTAAATCTATCTCTATATAAAAAAATATATGTAATATATACATATTCAAACTATATACAGAGCCTGTTTTAAAAAAATTACAGTATTATTTAGAAAAATTATCTGTTCTATGGACCAAATGTAAAATATTTATAAATGAAGATGCGTTTTAAATGTCTATAAATGGTGTCATAACTAGAGCACGGGCGTTATGTACGTTTCTAAGAATTTAGAGGAAAAATAATAAAGGTTCTATGATATACGATGTCAGACTTTCAGTTCTTTGGGTTGGGGGCAAAATAGCTTCTTTCATTGGAACAACGACATATACACACAACACTATTTCTTCCCCAACAGAGAGCGAGAGATTGGGGCTCAAAAATCCAGCAAGATACAGCTGGGTTTCCCCAAAGTCCTGGAATGAGTGATTACAAAATGACTCTGAGCTCCCTAAGGGAGGTGTTTTCACTGGGAAGCAGGGCCCTGAGAGGTCACACCCTGCTCCAACCAGTACCTGCCTCCAATGCAGAAAAACGCAGCGGTACACTAGGAGACGCTCAGCACCCCAGGACCCCCGTCACGTGTTTTCTTACTCCAGTCAATTCCCCATTCAAGCCAACCACTCACACTGAAAATGATGGCCTAGAAGGGAAGGGAAAGATACGGGACCCCATACTCTCCCCAAGCATCAGGAAGTGGAAGAAGTGAGTATGGGCGGCATGTGCACAGCTAAAGTAGGGAAATCAAAACAACCTAGTTTTGTGCGGGTCTCTCCTGTTCTGGAAAGAACAGAACACACATGCACGTATAAGTTTTGAAAATATGTATTGTGTAATTCACACATGAACTAAATGCTCTCCTAGTGGCATTTGCGCAGTATAAAGATGAACAATAAAATGCGTGCAGGGTGATCACAACTGGTTTTGGCGACCCCACAAGAGAGCCAGTGGGGTATTCCTCTTTGTGTTCTCACAAACCATTCCTTTCATGAATGATCTTCGAAAGAGCTTCCTGGGGTCACACCTCAAGCTGGCTGAGCTGTTGCATGACCTCTTCAGACGCCGCCCCCTGGTGGGTAGTGGACAGTGGTAATGAATGCTTATGAGGTCCTGCGCCCACAACCTTTGGAGCACTTTCTCATTGAACCTCAGGACACTCCATGAAGTGTAGGGGATCCTCATATTGGTGCCCTCTTGGGTCCCTTTCCCATTTTCATGTTGTACAAATGTGCCTTCACTCCCATATCCAGCACCTCCCGTCTGTGCCACAGACACAGGCATTACTTTTTAAAATGGGAACCACATAATAAACTGTATTTTTTTTTTTTTTTTAAATCACCAAGCCACATGGGTTTGCCAATCTGGAGGAGGACAGTTTACTGACAAGCCCATCTCATTATGATGCACATATAATTAAAGACTGTGCATATTTTACTCTTGGAGGAAAGTCTTCTTGTATTAAAAAAAGGCTAATGGGGACATGGGTGAGCAGCCCAGGCATGACGGGGAATTCTAATAATATCTAATAATATCGGAACACCATCTAAGAAGAAATCAGGGGCTCCAGTGACGTGATCACTGGAGATTTCTTTCATCTGATGTTTTCAAGAGGATTTGCCGGTGTTTTCCTTGAGGTTTGAGTCTGTTCAGGTCCAAAAAGAAGCAGACAACAAGACAGAGTCAGAAGTACAAGAGATTTACTGGGGTAAATGTCTTTGAAGGACACAGGAGACAGGGCAGGAGCAGGCAGGGGGACACTCAGGCCACGGTGGCGGCTGAGCACCTGTGCGAGGAGGGAGAGAAACGGAGGGCAGGTTGAGCCTCAGGCCCCGGGGCTACGAGACAGTTCTGGCCAGGCCCAGGAGGAACCCCAGGCCAGCGGCTGTCATTAGAGGAATCCCACTCTAAAGAATATTCCCTGCCCCTGCACGTCCACCAGGATTGGTCTCTGACTGCGGCTTGCCAGGGGGAGTGCAGACTTGATCAAAGGTGCTGCAGCCGGAGGACATGACAACTATACTTTCCATGGCAGTTCCGCAAAATACAAAAGTATAGGGACAAGAAAAGGGTAGCCACATTTCCTGAAAATGTTCTATCCACCCAACACTCTCTCAAGAGATGCTGTTGCCTTCCCATGGCCATCTTGCAAACAATCACAGGTTATTCTTTCCTTTAAGAGATGAGAATCCGGGGCGCCTGGGTGGCTCAGTGGGTTAAAGCCTCTGCCTTCGGCTCAGGTCATCATCTCAGGGTCCTGGGATCGAGTCCCACATCCTGCTCTCTGCTCGGCAGGGAGCCTGCTTCCTCCTCTCTCTCTGCCTGCCTCTCTGCCTACTTGTGATCTCTCTCTGTCAAATAAATAAATAAAATCTTTAAAAAAAAAAAAAAAAGAGATGAGAATCCTGAGGCTCAGACAGGGACAGCGACGTCCCCAAGGCCATACAGCGTCAAATCATGGGACCTGACACCATAGTGGCCTCCTTGGGCAGAGAGACACTCACACAGGACACCGGGCAAAGGTCTAAGAGCAGGCAGAGTTAAGGCCAGAGGGTAGTCAGGAAAAATCCATGGCATGAACATCAGGGGCTCTTTTTTCTGATGGAGCCTCAGGGATTAGCCCCACCCCTTGTGCCTGCCCCGGGGGTGAAAGGGCCTGCGCTGGCCCTGTGCGTGCAGGGAGCTCCACTGTACAGATGCCCAGTGGAGTCGACAAGGACCGTGCCACCTCGCACCCGCCCGGAAGCCCCAGGCACAGAGGGTGCTAACTGCACCTTCAGAAGAAGAAAGCTGTAAGCCAGCCGTGTACAGGGGAATCAGGAAGGCTGCCAGATCAAAAGCTGATACCCAGGCCCATTTCAAACATTCTGATGCAGGAAGCCTGGGCTGGGGCCCAGAAATTGCCTTCTAAAAAGCAGCCCCAGTTTTCTGAGAAAACTGACTGCCAATCGCATCAAGAAACACTGTTCAGAACAATCTAGAAACCCAGATTGAGGGTCGTTTTACAAAACAACTGGCCTCTGCTTTTGAAAAAT